TTCATCACCCAACTAGGTAATGTCATCAGTGCTAGAAGGGAGTGGGGTTTGCTCTCTGTTAATATGCAAGTGGCTCCCCCTATCAGGGTTGATAGGAGTGTGGTTCCTTGATTTGGCTGTTGTTTACTGTTGGCTTGTCTGTCTGAGTTGGTAATTCCTTGATTGGAGTATTGTTTACCTCTTGATTGTTGGTCTAGTAGTCAACTTGGTGTACGTATTTTCTTTATCTTTCCAGACTTCTGATATGAGGTGGGTGAACATGTCAAAAGGTTCAGTTTAGGGCAGTGATGGCGAACCTTTTAGAGACCGAGTGCCCAAAAACCGTCCCGTCCCTCCGGCCCGCCCCTGCTCTGCCACCGGCCCCGCCCCCTGCTCCGCCCGCCCACAGGGACTCACCACAGATCACCCAGGCAGCCTTGCAGCACCATGGCGGCCATGCCCTCCGCCCGCACCCCGCAGCATCATCTGCACATGATGGGGCGTGAGGGCGGAGTCTTGCCCCTGCTGCCTGGCTGCCATGTGCTTGGCTGCGCTGCTCCGCGTGGCCTGTGCCTGGGGGGGGCTCTCCGGGCAGGCTGCTGGTGAGGTGGGGGCTATGGGGTGAGGCGGGGCTGGGGCAATGGCGTGTGTGCCCACAGAGAGGGCTCCGAGTGCCACCTCTGGCACGTGTGCCATAGGTTCGCCACCACTGGTTTAGGGAATCCATTAACCTGAGACAGTGTCTTTGCATCCTAGCCACCCATACATGGAAAGTTTTCCTAATTCAGAAAGTTTAGGTGGTGTAAAAAAGCATGGATGTTTAGGGAATTCTGGGAGTTGAAGTCCACCTGTCTTAAAGTTACCAAGGTTGAGAATCACAATGGGGCACTATAGGGCTTGCTCCTGAGGAGGAAAGCTATGGCAAATCTAGACAGCATACTAAAAAGCAGAGACATCACCCTGCCAACAAAAGTACGTAGAGTCAAGGCCATGGTTTTCCCAGTTGCAATGTATGGCTGTGAAAGTCGGACCGTAAGAAAGGCTGAGCGCCAAAGAATGGAGGCCTTTGAACTATGGTGCTGGAGAAGACTCCTGCGAGTCCCCTGGACTGCAAGGCGATCAAACCGGTCAGTCCTAGAGGAGATCAACCCCGACTGCTCTTTAGAAGGCCAGATCCTGAAGTTGAAACTCAAGTACTTTGGCCACCTAATGAGAAGGAAGGACTCACTGGAGAAGAGCCTGATGCTGGGAAAGATGGAGGGCAAGAGAAGAAGGGGATGACAGAGAATGAGGTGGCTGGATGGAGTCAATGAAGCAGTAGACGTGAGCTTCAATGGACTCCAGAAGATGGTAGAGGACAGGAAGACCTGGAGGAACGTTGTCCACGGGGTCGTGATGGGTCAGACATGACTTCGCAACTAACAACAACAACAATGGGGCACCATGTAAACCTAAGTGCTATTGCTATTGCTGCTGCTGGACTAAATGATAAAATAATTATGGTTCAAAAAAACTAAATATTGTCACTTAAATACAGGTAGTCCTCGACTTAACAACAGTTCCTTTAGTGACTGTTTGAAGTTACAACAGCACTGAAAAAGTGACTTACGACCCTTTTTCATACTTAATGACTCTTGCAGCATCCCCAGGGTCATGTGATCAAAATTCAGACGCTTGGCAACTGAATCATATTTATGACGGTTGCAGTGTCCCGGGGTCATGTGATCTCCTTTTGCGATCTTCTGACAGGCAAAGTCAATGGGGAAGCCAGATTCACTTAAAAACCATGTTCCTAACTTAATAGCTGCAGTGATTCATATAACAACTGTGGCAAGAAAGATCATCCAATGGGGCAAAACTCAATTAACAGCTGTCTCGCTTAGCAACAGAAATTTTGGGCTCAACGGTGGTCGTAAGTTGAGGATTACCTTTATTGCCTCAATTTACAGCTTTTTGGGTTGAATTTCCTGGAATGTATTTACTTCAATCACTTTTCACTCCTAGAAATGAGTGAAAGAAAAGTTTCTATCAACATATTAATAACAAGAAAAAAGTCAAGGAAACTGTAGGTCCACTAAAGAGAGAAGATGGCAAGGAAGTAACAAGCAAATAGGGAGGCAGCAGAGCTGCTTAACTCATTCTTTGCATCAGTCTTCACACAAAAAGAAATTATAGCACAACATACCAACACAAATACTGCGAAAGACAAACTAGAAACAAAAATTAAAATAAGCAAGAAAATGGTAAGAGAACACCTATCCGACCTTGATGAATATAAATCACCGGGACCTGACAAATTGCATCCCAGAGTTCTGAAGGAGCTGGCAGATGTTATCTCAGAACCATTGCACCACATCTTTCAAAAATCCTGGAGCACCGGGGAAGTACCTGAGGATTGGAAAAGGGCTGATGTGGTTCCCATTTTCAAGAAAGGGAGAAAAAAAACGGACCCAGGAAACTACAGACCAATCAGTCTAACATCAATACCTGGGAAGATCCTGGAAAAGATAATCAAAAAACAGATCTGCGAACAACTAGAAGCAAACAAAGTTATAACTGGTAGCCAGCATGGGTTTGTTAAAAACAGATCATGCCAAACCAATCTTATTTCATTCTTTGATAAAGTGACCTAATTAGCACACTAGGGAAACACTGTGGACATAGTATACTTAGATTTCAGTAAGGCATTCAACAAAGTAGACCACAATCTACTGCTTGGTAAGCTAGAAAAAAGCTGGAATAGACAACATCACCACCAGATGGATTTGTAGCTGGCTGAAAAACCGTACTCACAAGTAGTCCTCAATGGTACTACATCCATATGGAGAGAAGTAAGCAGTGGGATACCACAAGGCTCCGTCTTAGGCCCAGTACTCTTCAATATCTTCATCAATGACTTAGATGAGGTAATAGAAGGGGAACTCATCAGATTTGCAGATGACACTAAACTGGCAGGAATAGCCAACACCCCAGAAGACAAGCTCAGGAGTCAAAAAGATCTCAACAAGCATGAACAATGGGCCCTATCCAACAAAGTGAGTTTTAATGTGGAGAAAAGCAAAGTTTTACATTTAGGCAGGAAAAATCAAACATATAAATACGGGTTAGGTGAAACCTGGCTTAAAAACAGCAAATGTGAGAGGGACCTTGGAGTCCTAGTGGACGATCACTTGACTATGAGCCAGCCATGTGCAGCAGCAGCCAAAAAAGCTAATACAATCCTGGGTTGTATAAACAGAGGCATGGAATCAAGATCACACGAAGTATTAGTGCCGCTTTATAAAACCCTAGTGAGACCACACCTGGAATACTGCAACCAATTTTGGTCACCCCTACTACAAAAAAGATATTGAGACCTTGGAAAAAGTTCAGAGAAGAGCAACTAAGATGATCCAAGGCCTGGAGACTAAAACATATGAAGAGCAGCTGCAGGACTTGGGTTTGGCTAGTCTAAAGAAAAGAAGAAATAGGGGAGACATGATAGCAGTATTCCAGTATTTGAAAGGCTGCCACAAAGAGGGAGACAAATTATTTTCCAAAGCACCAGAGGACAGGACAAGAAAAAGTGGTTGGAAACTGATCAAAGAGAGAAGCAACCTGGAATTAAGGAGAAAGTTCCTGACAATGAGGACAATCAACCAGTGGAACAGCTTACCCCCAGAAATCGTGGGCGCTCCATCACTGGAGGTTTTTAAGAAGAGACTGGACTCTCTTGTTTGAACAGGGGGATAGACTAGAAGACCTCCAAGGTCCCTTCCAGTTCTATTCTATTCTACTCTACTCTACTCTACTCTACTCTACTCTACTCTACTCTACTCTACTCTACTCTACTCTACTCTACTCTACTCTATTCTATTCTATTCTATTCTATTCTATTCTATTGTATTCTAAATATAAATCACATTTTGGAGAAGAAAGGCAAAAAGGTAAATTGGTAACCCTACCACTGGAAAGAAATGGTGAACCCCCCCCCCCCAAAACTGTTAAAAAAACAGGTTTCACGTGACTTTCAAGTATCCTTGTCTTTTCCCCTGGATTGCACAGTGGAATTACGCAACTTGTTTATTTGCTTAATTTACTCAGTGCCAAATTCAGCTGGCCTTTTCTTTGTGACAAATGTGAGTGAGTTATCATAGTGTCAATGATTTTTCCCCCCTCCATAGTGCATTGCTTTCGGGTCTGATTGGAAAATAACTTTTTTCCCATGCCTCTCCAATTTGTGCCTGCAGTTACTAGTTCAGCATTCAGATTTCTGCATTCATTCTGGGGTGGGGTAGGGAGTTGCCTTAAACAGCTGCTTCAGCAAGTCGAATCTTCCAGCATTTTTTTTTTAAAAAATGACTTTTTTTGCGGTATTCATTTCTTGTAGCCCAGAGCTGAATCCAGCCATCAGATTTAGCCGGAAATCCCACATTTAAAAGATTAGCACTTCTTTAAATTTCATATCCTGCTTTTATTTTTAATATTTTACTTGTATACCGCCCGGAGCCCCTTTGTGGAGGTTTCTAAATTTGATAAATAAAACAAAAATGAATAAATGTACTACATTTTTTTGGCGTTGCCAGCTTGGAAGAAGATGGTAAAATCTTGCAATTTGTGCGTTTCTCTTGGTTCATGACAGCAGTGTTCTGATTTTGCAGGACGAGCAAGCCCGTGCCTTCCCATTGCATAATCAGGGAGCTTTTTACTCTGGCTTCCCTCCTCCGAGGCTTGTCCGTATTTTATTTAATTTTTTTTTCTTTCAGCTGCAGCTTGTAGCTCTTCTGCGTGCCTGCCTACTGCTGAGTGTGCGCACGGAGAGAAATGGGCAAAAAAAAAGCAAAGGGACAAAGGTTAAAAATGCAAAACAGTTGATAGGAACTAAAAAAAAAAATCTAGCTTATTTGGAGAGCAGGAGGGCAACATGAAAAACTAGTTTAAAGCAGCTGCATTGGGTGTCACAGTTGTCTTGTCGAGTCTCTAAACTTTGAAGATACCTTTTGCGATTCTCGGGCAGCATGGATGAACCGACCGGAGAAGAAAGTCAAGGCATGAGATATCATATGCTTCCAAGGTAATACATAGATGGCTGGCTGGACACATTTTTCCGATCTGGTTTTAGATGGATCATTTGTGGGGAGCTTTGATGTAGAATTCCGGACGCCTTGTGTTTTAAAAGTTGATGGGAATGAACCTTAGCGGAATTGAGAACTGGTTCCTGATAGTTTTTATTCTTCATTTTTTGGGGGGAGAAGATATACAGGTGGTTCTTAACTTACAACCACAATTGGGCCCAAGGCGCCTGAAGGCAGGACAAGAAGCAACGGGTGGAAACTGATCAAGGAGAGAAGCAACCTAGAACTAAGGAGAAACTTCCTGACAGTTAGAACAATTAACCAGTGGAACAACCTGCCTCCAGAAGGGGTGAATGCTCCAACACTGGAAGTTTTTAAGAAGAGACTGGACAGCCATTTGTCTGAAATGGTATAGGGTTTCCTGCCTGAGCAGGGGGTTGGACTAGAAGACCTCCAAGGTCCCTCCCAACTTTTATTACTACTACTACTACTACTACTACTACTACTACTACTACTACTACTACTATTACTACTACTACTACTACTATTATTATTATTATTATTATTATTATTATTTCTTAAATGAGCTTTGCTCCATTTTACGACCTCCCTTGCTGCAGTTGTTAAGTGAATCACTGCAGTTGATAAGTTAGGTAACTCAGTTGTTACCTGAATCTGGCTTCCCCAACTGACTTTGCTTGTCGGGAGGTCGCAAGAGGGAATCACATGACCTTGGGACACAGCAATGGTTATAAGTATGAGTCGGTTGCCAAGCATCTAGAATTTTGATCACGTATCATGGGGATGCTACAAAGATTGTACCTGTGAAAAACGGTCATAGGTCCTTTTTTTCAGTGCCATTGTAACTTTGAACGGTCACTAAATGAACTGTTGTAAGTCGAGGGCTACCTGTATTTGGTTTCCTTGCCACTTGAAGGCAAGGAATTTCTCCTTGGGTTTGGAAAGGAAGATGTGGAGAGACTTTTCATGCTCTGAAGAATGGTTGAAAAAGTTCATGCAGAGAGTTTTAACTTTGCAGGCAAACAGAATAATAGAATAACAGAGTTGGAAGGGACCTTGGCGTTCTTCTAGTCCAACTCCTTGCTCAGGCAGAAATCCCTGTACTATTTCAGACAAATGGCTATCCAGTCTCTTCTTAAAAACTTTCAGTGTTGGAGCATTCACAACTTCTGGAGGCAGGTTGTTCCACTGGTTAATTGTTCTAACAGTCAAGAAATTTCTCCTTAGTTCTAGGTTGCTTCTCTCTTTGGTTAGTTTCCACCCGTTGCTTCTTGTCCTGCCTTCAGGCACTTTGGAGAATAGCTTGACTCCCTCTTCTTTGGGGCAGCCCCTGAGATATTGGAGCACTGCTATCGTGTCCCCCCTCGTCCTTCTCTTCGTTAAACTAGACAGACCCAATTCCAGCAGCCTTTCCTAATATGCTTTAGCCTCCAGTCCCCTAATCATCTTTGTTGCTCTTCTCTGTACTCTTTCTAGAGCAGTGGTGGCGAACCTATGGCACGCGTTCCAGAGGCGGCACTCGGAGCCCTCTTTGTGGGCATTCACAGCCCCGCCTCCCCCGTGGCCCCCTCCTCACCAGCAGACCCCAGCGCAGCCAAGGACATAGCAGCCAGGCAGCAGGGATAAGTCCGCCCTCGCGCCCCGTCGCATGCAGATGATGCTGCAGAGCACGGGTGGAAGGCGTGGCCCCCATGGTGCTGCTTGGCTGCCTGGGCAATCTGCGGCGGGCTGTGGAGGCAGTGGATGGTCCTATGGGTGGGCGGGGCTGGGGGGCAGGGCAGGGGGCGGGGCAGAGGCAGGGGCAGGAGGGGGGCGGGGAGGTTTTTGGGCACTCGGTCTCTAAAAGATTTGCCATCACTGTTCTAGAGTCTCAACATCTTTTTTACATCGTGGTGACCAAAACTGGATGCAGTATTCCAAGTGTGGCCTTACCAAGGCATTGTAAAGTGGTATTAATACTTTGCGTGATCTTGATTCTGTCCCTCTGTTAATGCAGCCTAGCACTGTGTTGGCTTTTTTGGCAGCTGCAAATTTACAAAGAGTGCAGCTTCATGATGTTATGTCATTGCCATTTGCAACCTCTTCCAACAAGGGAATAGGGGAAGCTGGATTTGCACAATGAGGCTGCGATGATTCCCTTAACAACTGCAGTGATTTGCTTAATAACCTTGGCAAAAGAGGTGGTAAAATGGGCATGACTCACTTTAACAACTGCCTTGTTCAGCAACAGAATATTCTGGTCCCAATTGTGGTCGTACTTCAAGGACAACCTGCAAATACAGGTAGTCCTCAACTTACAGCAGTTCATTTAGCAGCTGTTCAAAGTTACTGAAAAAAGTGACTTACGACCGTTTTTCACAGTTTCAACAGTTGCAGCATCCCCATGGTCACGTGATCAATATTTGGACACTTGCCAACTGGCTCATATTTACGACGGTCGCAGTGTGTCCGGGGTCACGTGATTCCCCTTTGCGACCTTCTGACAAGCAAAGTCAATGGGGGAACCGGATTCACTTAACAACCGTGTTATTCACTGAACAACTGCAGCGATTCATTTAACAACCGTGTCAAAAAATGAGGCAAAACTCACTTAACACACGTCTCACTTAACAACAGAAATTCTAATCCCAACTGTGGTTGTATTTCTTTTTTTTTTTTGAAATTTTTATAAAATTTTACAATATAAATCCCCCCCTTCCCCAACCCACCCTTCCACTCCCCCCTCCCTCCCCCCTCACTTCCCAGTGCCAATCACAGGGTTAACAATAAAATAATCATATTCTAAATAACATTAATCAACTATTAAAATAACATATCTATAACCTCCTTTAACTCTCTTTTAAACAAATATATACAGTTATTAAAAACAATAATAATAACATCACTTTAATAATCAAAAATAGTACAAAATAACCTATTCTAACCTTTATACAACAATAATACTCTAAAATTCACTCAAAAACCAAATGATATTTTTTGGTCCCATATTTGCGCTCAATATAATCTACCCATCTTCTCCAAACCAAAATATATTCAACTGTGGTTGTATTTCAAGGACTAGCTGCAAATAGACAAACTCTCTGTTCTGATAGTTTCTCTGGATCGGTGCTATTATGGGATACTAATGCTGGAATTCCAGCTGTGCTTATTGAAGTCAGAAGGAATAATTTGGAATTGGCATGCTTTATTTATTTCTGAATTTTACAAAAGATCTTGCTCTAACTAGAGATGTATCCAATATTGCCATTGCTTTTCCATAATGAAGGCATCTGGCATCTGTTCCTTGTTCACAGAATGTCTTGCACTGATGTGAGAATCAAAGATTGCCCTTCTTACCAATTTCAGCCCCTAGAGTTCTTGACATTTTGAGCATTTCTGCCCTGGGAAATTGTGTTAGTGCCTTCAAATCATATTTGAACTCTTGGTGACTGTTCGGATTAGTCCACGCAGTTTTCTTGGCACGTTTTTCAGGAGCATTTTGCTATTATTTCCTTCCTAGGGCTGAGGCAGAGTGGCTGGCCCAAGGCCACTCAGATAGCTTTGTGCCTAAGGCAGGACTAGAACTCATGGCCTCCTGGTTTCTTGCCAAATTGGCCTTAATATATCTCCCACACCAAGGCTTTTCAACCAGTGGTACGGGTACCACCTGTGGTACATTGGCACCTGGCAGGTGGTACGTGACCATCCTAGAAAAGTGGTAGCGGGGGAGGGGAATGAGCCGAACCGGTGGCAGCACCACACAAGCCTGAGCGAGAGACGGCTGGAGCTGCAGGGCTGTCAGGGCTCAGTGGAAGCGCCAGGATCAGCGCTTCTTCAGGACTGTCAGGGCTCAGCAGAAGTGCCAGGATCAGTGCCAGGCTCCAGCTGGAGCTCGGCGCTGATCCTGGCGCTTCTGCTGAGCCCAGAAGAAGCGCCAATCAGCTGGACTGTTGCAGCATCTCCAGGGTCTTGTGATTTACATTCAGATGCTTGGCAACTGATTCATATTTATGACGGTCACAGTGTCCCAGGGTCATGTGAAGTGACCAAAACCTGCTGCAACCACACAGCAGACGGGGGGGGGAATAAAAACCAAATACCCCCCCACCCCACCTCCGCTGCCAATCCTCAACAGAAATGCTCACAACAATGAAAACCTCGGACAGGAGGAAGAGCGCCACCAGGCGGGCAGGCAGGTGTCTTGCTCGGCTGTGGCCTGGGGGGCACTTTTTTTCAGTGCCATTGTAACTTCGAACAGTCACTAAGCGAACTGTTGTAAGTCGAGGACTACCTGTACTTCATCACTTTTTTCCTTTTTTTTTTTTTTGGTCATCAAGTTTTTGACACCTTGCTAGGCGACTGGTGGTACTCGGATGTTGCCATATCCTAAAAGTGGTACAATGGGTGAAAAAGTTGAAAAGCCCTGTCCTACACACTCTCTAGAGTTGTCCCAAAGGTGCTTTTTCAAAAGGCAACTGGACTTTGTTTTATCTTGAAGAGGTTTTGCTTCTCATCCAAAAGGCTTCTTCAGTTCTGACTGAATGGTGGAGAATGGAACTGAAGAATTGAAGAAGCTTCTTGGATGGGAAGCGAAACCTCTTCAAGGAAAAACAAAGTCCGGTTGCCCCTTTGAAAAAGCACCTTTGGGACAACCGTGACCTGGATGATTGAGAATTTCCGAAGATATTCTCTAGGACAGGGCTTTCAACCTTTTCACCCATTGTACCACTCTTAGGATATGGCAACATCCGAGTACCACCAGTCGCCTAGCAAGGTGTCAAAAACGTGATGACCAAAAAAAAAATAAAAAATGAAAAAAGTGATGAAGTACAGGTAGTCCTCAACTTACAACAGTTCGCATAGTGACTGCTCAAAGTTACAATGGCAGTGAAAAAAGTGCCCCCCAAGCCACAGCCGAGCAAGACACCTGCCTGCCCACCCGGCGGCGCTCTTCCTCCTGTCCGAGGTTTTCATTGTTGTGAGCATTTCTGTTGAGGATTGGCAGTGGGGGTGGGGTGGGCAGGTGTTTGGTTTTTATTCCCCCCGTCTGCTGGGTGGTTGCAGCAGGTTCTGGTCACTTCACATGACCCTGGGACACTGTGACCGTCATAAATATGAATCAGTTGCCAAGCATCTAAATCACAAGACCCTGGAGATGCTGCAACATTCCAGCTGATCGGTGCTTCTTCAGGGCTCAGCAGAAGCCCCAGGATCAGCGCTGAGCTCCACCTGGAGCCTGGCGCTGATTCTGGCGCTTCCACTGAGCCCTGACAACCCCGAAGAAGCGCCGATCAGCTGGAAAGTGGCACTGATCCTGGCGCTTCCACTGAGCCCTGACAGCCCTGCAGCTCCAGCCATCTCTCGCTCAGGCTTGTGCGGTGCTGCCACTAGTTCAGCTCATTCCTCTCCCCCATTACCACTTTTCTAGGATGGTGGCGTATCACCTGCAAGGTGCCAATGTACCACAGGTGGTACCCGTACCACTGGTTGAAAAGCCCTGCTCTAGGATTCGAGACAACATCCTCAGAACTTGGTTTGTTTTTGGTTCTCCTTCAAAACATTAATACTCCTCTTAAAATTCCTTCCTTAGGGGGGGTCGTCATACACCTCTGCGCAGTTCCATACCTGATCCTCGGATGGTGGTCTGTAGCTTATTAGCCAAGATCTTAGCTTCGAGTCTTGGCATCTAGCGTCTCTGCAACATCTTCTGACAACTCTAACGTTGTTGTGTTCCTTATCTCCCTCAGGCCAAGCATGTCCGGCCTTCACCTCATGAAACAAGGCCGAGATAGGAAGAAGGTGGATCTACAGAGGGATTTCACTGTGGCGTCTCCAGCAGAGTTTGTCACCCGTTTTGGAGGAAACAAAGTTATTGAGAAGGTAAAGAACGGAACGGAACAGGACAGAATAGAATAGAATTTGGGCTCTACACTATAAAGAAGATGTTGAGACTCTAGAAAAAGTTGCAGAGAAGAGCAACAAAGATGATTAGGGGACTGGAGGCTAAAACGTATGAGGAATGGTTAGAGGAATTGGGCATGGCTAGTCTAGTGAACAGAAGGATGAGGGGAGATATGATAGCAGTGTCCCAATATACTTGAGGGGCTGTCACAAAGAGGAGGGGATCAGCCTATTTTCCAAAGCACCCGAAGGCCAGACAAAGAATAACGGATGGAAGCTGATCAAGGAGAGATTCAACCTAGAAATAAGAAGAAATTTCCTGACAGTGAGAACAATCAACCAATAGAACAGTTTGCCTTCAGATGTTGTGAGAGCTTCATCACAGGTAGCTTTCAAGAAGAGACTGGACTGCCATCTGTCAGAAATGGTGTAGGGTCTCCTGCTTGAGCAGGGGGTTGGACTAGATGACCTACAATGTCCCTTCCAACTCTCTGCTTCTGCTTCAGAATAGAATAAAATAGAATAGAACAGAACAGAACAGAATAGAATAGAAAGAAGTATAGAAACAAGAATAGAATAGAATAGAATAGAATAGAATAGAATAGAATAGAATAGAATAGAATAGAATAGAATAGAGCTGGAAGGGACCTTGGAGGTCTTCTAGTCCAGCCCCCTGTTCAAGCAGGAGAACCTATACCATCTCAGACAGGTGATTGTCTAGATTCTTCTTGAAAACCTCCAGTGATGGAGCACCCATGATTTCTGGGGGTAAGCTGTTCCACTGGTTGATTGTCCTCACTGTCAGGAACTTTCTCCTTAATTCCAGGTTGCTTCTCTCTTTGATCAGTTTCCAACCATTGTTTCTTGTCCTGCCCCCAGGTGCTTTGGTGAACAACCTGACCCCCTCTTCCTTGTGGCAGCCCCTCAGATATTGGAACACTGCTATCATGTCTTCCCTATTTCTTCTTTTCTTTAGATTGGCCAAACCCAAGTCCCGCAGCCGTTCTTTGTATGTTTTAGTCTCCAGGCCTTGGATCATCTTAGTTGCTCTTCTCTGAATTTTTTCCAAACTCTCAACATCTTTTTTGTGATATGGTGACCAAAAGTGGCTGCAGTATTCCAGGTGTGATCTTACTAGGGTTTTATAAAGCGGGACTAATACTTCGCGTGATCTTGATTCTACAAACCTTTCAGAATCCGAACCGACCGCACAGCCAACCACAGACAGCACCGACCCTCAAAACCAACCCACGCAACCCCCCTCCCACCAGCAGTTCACCCCCAATGACCCTGACCTGATGTAATTTCCCCATCACAAGACCCGTCACAAGACTCACTCATGACTCACGCCTGACCCATCATGAGACCCTCACTCGACACACCCACACCTGAAGCCCTTATAAACTGACATCCCCTAAAGTCCCCTGAAGATGTTACCTAGCCTGGTAACGAAATGTTCGGAAACCAATCCACAAGCTCGGAGAACGAATATTCACCCTCACATATATCTGTGTCAGTTGTGCTGTCGAGATAGTTATTTCCAAGTTTGATTGATGATTGTAAATCTGAACAGTTTTATCCTTTCCGTTTCACGTTTCTTCTCTGTCAAGGTTCTCATTGCCAATAATGGGATAGCGGCAGTCAAATGCATGAGGTCCATCCGACGCTGGTCTTACGAGATGTTCCGGAATGAGCGAGCCATTCGTTTCGTGGTTATGGTAACGCCCGAAGACTTGAAAGCCAACGCAGGTGAGCATAAGGACTGTGCTTTTATAAGAGTTCTGGTGGCGCAGTGGTTAGAATGCAGTATTGCAGGCTAACATTGCCCACAGTCTAGAGTTCGATCCTGACCAGCTCGAGGTTCACTCAGCCTTCCATCCTTCCAAGGTCCGTAAAATGAGGACCCGGATGTTGGAGGCAAAATGCTGACTCTGTAAACTGCTTAGAGAGTGCTGCAAAGCGCTATGGGGCGGTCAATAAGTCTAAGTGCTTTTATTGCTTTGCTTTTCATTATTCCTGCAGGAAAAATGGTAAATTATACATAGTTCTTGACTTACAGCTATTTGTTTAGTGACCGTTTGAAGTTACAATGGCACGGGAAAAATTGACTTATGACTGTTTTTCACACTCGTGACCGTTGCAGCATCCCCATAGTCGCCCGATCAAAATTTGGGTGCTTGGCAGTTGGCTTGTATTTATGACTGTTGCAGTGACCGTTGCATGTGAGATCACCTTTTTTGACTTTCTGATGAGCAAAGTCAATGGGGAAACCAGAGTCACTTACCGGTTGTGTTAGTAACTTAACAACTGCAGTGGTTCACTTAACAACTCTGGCGAGAAAGGTCATAAAATGGGGCAAAATTCACTTAACAGTTTCCTCTCCCAAATGTTCCTGGGAAGGTTGGCCACTTTCAGATCGCGCACAATCCGGCATCCCGTAATTTTACTCTCCTGAGAAATAAGAATAATGTTGGACTTTTGCACTGCAATGCAGTTAGTCTGTCAGAGCATGCACAGTCTTATTGCGCTGAGGTAACCCAGAGGTAAACACAGTACACAGTGGTTTGTATTAAATGGTGGTTTATATTACACTATCTACAAATATACACTAGAAACAAAATACATACACATGGTGAAACAGCGAACTACAATACACAGCAATTACAGCAGGAAACGGATGAGAGAGAAAGATTCCAGCAAGGCCTTCCCTTTTATACTCAAGCTCTTAAAGCAGTGTTTCTCAACCTTGACAATGCTGGCTGTGGAATCCTGGGAGTTGAAGTCCACATGCCTTAAAATTGTCAAGGTTGAGAAACACTGTCTTAAAGGGATACAGACTCCTGCTGAGTCATTCCTAACATTGCATCATTCATCTCACATTATGCAAGCTGGTTAGCTTCTAAATCAGTGGTGGCAAACCTATGGCATAGGTGCCAGAGGCGGCACTCAGAGCGCTCTCTGTGGGCACGCTTGCCATCGCCCCAGTCCTAGGCCTTCATCTGGGTTTTATAAAACCTTTTCGCTTTAGGCCTCCTCCGCCGTATGAAAAAAAAAAGGTTCAATCAATCAGTCAATTTCAACTTCTTGCAGGAAAAAAAAAGATCTTGCAAAGTTGGAATTGATTGATTGAACTTTTTAGTCTCACCCAGTCTGCTGTTACCACTGCAGCCACGCCCACCCAATGGGCCACACCCACCCAATGGGCCACACCCACCCAATGGGCCACACCGACCCGGCACCCGACGATGCATAAATGGGTTTTGGGTTGCAGTTTGGCCACTCCGTCTCTAAAACGTTCGCCATCACTGTTCTAAATCATTACCTTGACATAGTTCTTGACTGCCGCTGGTAGAGTTGGGGCCAGCCCCACCCTCTTAGCCCCAGGAAGAAGGCAAGGGCAAAATACAGGTAGTCCTCAACTTACGACAGTCCATTTAGTGACCGTTTGAAGTTACAACGGCCCTGAAAAAAGTGGCATACGACCATTTTTCACATTTGCCACCCTTGCAGCATCTCGGTGGTGCCACAATCAAAATTCAGACACTTGGTAACCGACTCGTATTTATGACGGTTGCACGTGATCATTCCCTTTTGCCACTTTTTGACAAGCAAAGCCAATTGGGAAGCAGGATTCACTTAATAACTGTGGCAAGAAAGGTCGTAAAATGGGGCAAAATCTGCTTAACAACTCTCTCACCCAGCAATAGAAATTTGGGGCTCAATTGTGGTCATAAGTTGAGGACTCCCTGTATTAGCAGTTTGCCAACAACAGGGGGTGGAGCAACATGCCCACCGAGTGACAACAGTTTAGTGAGCTCTTAACTTTTTACCTCAGCTTTTCTCTTCTTTAGTGCTCAATAGCTTCCTTAGCAGCTTCCCAACTTTTTTTTAGTTAAGAGTTTTTTGTTTTTTTTAAAAAAGTCTGATGATCAAAGATTGGCAGGTGGCAGAGTAGGTGTTTGTGGACACAAGCAGATTCTAAGATACGATAAACCCAATTTAAAGATATGGAAAGTTGGAGGAAAACTGCTGTTTTGTGTTTGCAATAGGCTTGACCCCTAGGATTTTGCATGTGTGGAACTTAACCCATCATAATATCCTCTGGATAAGTGATGCTTACTTTCAATAAATAAATTACAGGTAGTTTCCTCGAATTACAATCATAATGCAGCTTGATCATCCTGGTCGTAACTTGTGACAGTCGCAAATCGGGTCACTCATGTAACCAACCTGATTTTAGGACCTTTTCTTGTAGCAGTCCTTAAGCAAACACTGCGGTTCTTAAGTGAACCAATGGCTTGATGTGGGTTGATTTTGACAAAAATCGGAAGTAAATGCTGCTTTTTGGCAAAATTGCTGCAAAACATGATCATGTGACCACTGGACCAGTGGTGGGATTTAGCTGGTTCGCACTGGTTCGGCAGAACCATTGGCTAAATTTTGCTGAGTTCGGAGAACCGGCTAAATGCACATTGCTTCCGGAAGTCCAGTCTAGGCCTCAGAGGCCTGGAGGAGGCCTCCCCAGCGTAGAACGGCTCACTGGAAGTGCATGGATGCCACTTCTGGAAGTCCGTTCTAGGCCTCGGAGGCCTGGAGGAGACCTCCCGGGCCTAGAACGGCCCGCTGGAAGTGTGTGGATGCCACTTCTGGAAGTCCGTTCTAGGCCTTGGAGGCCCAGGCCTGCATCCAATAAGCGAACTGGTTGTTCAGGTATTTGAATCCCACCAGTGCACTGGACGCTGCAAATGGCTGAAAATGCGACTGGTCATAAATTGAGGACTAGTGGTATATTACTCCAGTAGGCAGACAGTGAATAGGTTGCTGGAATTGGGTATGTCTAGTTTAATGAAGAGAAGGACGAGGGGGGACATGATAGCAGCGTTCCAATATCTCAGGGGCTGCCCCAAAGAAGAGGGAGTCAAGCTATTCTCCAAAGCACCCGAAGGCAGGACAAGAAGCAACGGATGGGAACTAATCAAGGAGAGAAGCAACTTAGAATTAAGGAGAAACTTCCTGACAGTTAGAACAATTAACCAGTGGAACAACCTGCCTCCAGAAGCGGTGAATGCTCCAACACTGGAAGTTTTTAAGAAGAGACTGGATAGCCATTTATCTGAAATGGTATAGGGTTTCCTGCCTGAGCAGGGGGTTGGACTAGATGACCTCCAAGGTCCCTTCCAACTTTTTTATTATGGGTTAATTATGGAAATTTTACAACCGGTGGACTTTAACTTCAATTTTGTCTGAAATGATATAGGTTCTCCTACTTGAGCAGGGGGCTAGACTAGAAGACCTCTAAGGTCCCTTCCAGCTATTCTATTCTATTCTATTCTATTCTATTCTATTCTATTCTATTCTATTCTATGCCTGGGGCTCAGGAATGTGCTAAAGGCCCTGTCACTTGGTTTTACTATTAGTTGCTGTTTCTACTTATTTATTTTGTTGATGTTTTCATTTGTTTTACTTTTTTATTTTTTAAAAAAATAATTTTAAACTCCTAAAGCCTCCCAGAGTCACTTGGTTGAGTTAGGCAGCTATAGAAATTGAATGAATAAATAAATAAATAAAGTCTGCAAGGAAACACCCTTGGCTCTGTTTCATTAAGAACCCCCCCCCCCCACCAAAAAAAGAGAAGAAATCCCAAAGAATTGTTCCCTTATGAATCTTAAGTTCAGTTGATACACACTTTTTTTTTTTTTTTTTTTAAATCTGTTTGGGAAATGTAGACGTTGCCAATTGAATGAGCAGCCTAAATACCCTCTTGTTTTTCATATTTTCAGAATATATTAAAATGGCTGATCATTATGTCCCGGTACCTGGAGGTCCAAATAACAATAACTATGCAAATGTGGAACTGATACTGGAAATTGCAAAACGGATACCTGTGCAGGTGAGAAGGTGGAAATACAGAATTTAAAAAACAAAGAATGCTTATTAAGGATGTTGCTGGAGTCATTCTAACATAGTTGTTTGCGTAGATCAGGGGTCTTCAAACATGGCCCTTTTATGACTTGTGGACTTCAACTCCCAGAATTCCTCAGCCAGGTACACTGGCTCAGGAATTCTGGGAGTTGAAGTCCACAAGTCATAAAAGGGCCAAGTTTGAAGACCCCTGGTGTAGATTTAGCTTAGCATGCTACCCACTTTGGTTTGTAAACTAGACTTGATTAAAATTTAGCTTGTGTGGATTAAGCTGATTGTGGTTTAATTCCCACAGTTCAACAGATCATGGTGTAGCTTGTTGTGAATTGGACTTGTGATTGTCTGAGCTTCCTTGATATTGTAGAGATGAGAGAAAAGTGTTTGGCTGCCTGTTGACTGACCTGATCAGATTTTATAAATTCACCTTTCTCAATCAGTGGCCACACTGTTTGGGAATTCTGGGAATTGTAGTCCAATACATCTGGAGAAGTTCAGGATGGAGAAGAATGTCCTTAAGATTGGGAAGGCATGGAGAAGAAATGAAGGAAAGATGGAGAAACTAGTTGTCGTGATGGAAAGGAAAATTGTTTGTCCATAAATGTTGTAGCTGAAACAACACCATCCATTATTTGAGAAAGCCCAACTCATTGACAAAACTTTCTGTGCCACAAAAAATAATGCACTGAGGAAAATTTTGCCACTTCTCAAATGCTTAGTGGGGATTAAGCATGACTATCCTGAGCAAAATATGAAAAAGTTGTCAAAAGGGGAAGGAGTGTCAACCTATTCTCCAAAGCACCTGAAGGCAATGGGTAGAAACTAATCAAGGAGAGAAGCAACCTAAAACTAAGGAGAAATTTCCTGACAGTGAGAACAATTAATCAGTGGAATAGTTTTGCCTCTAGAAGCTGTGAATGCTCCAACACTGCAGGCTTTTAAGAAGAGACTGGACAGCCATTTGTCTGAAATGGTATAGGGCAGTGATGGCGAACCTTTTAGAGCCCGAGTGCCCAAAACCCGCCCCCCCACCGTCCCCGCTCCGCCCTGCCCACTGGCCCACCCACCACCTCCACGGCCCGCCACAGATCACCCAGGCAGCCCAGATCACCCTCCGCCCATGCCCCGCAGCATCATCTGCGTGCGACGGGGCGCAAGGGCGGAGTCTTGTCCCCGCTGCCCGGCTACCATGTCCTTGGCTGTGCTGCTTTGTGTGGGCCGCGCCCAGGGGCGACTCTCCTCGGGGGGGGCTGCTGGTGAGGGGGGCGTGGGAGGAGGCGGGGCTGGGGAGATGGTGCATGTGCCTACAGAGAGGGCTCCGAGTGCCGCCTCTGGCACCCGTGCCATAGGTTCGCCACCACTGGTATAGGGTTTCCTGCCTGAGCAGGGGGTTGGACTAGAAGACCTCCAAGGTCCCTTCCACTGTTATTCTGAGTGGAGTATTCTGGATGAGGATACAGTTGACGTCTTGGAAACAAGCCAGAATATTTCCAGATATTTTAGAAGTGTGTGTAATAATTTAGGTGCATTAATTTAGTCTTATTTATACTACCTACATGCTGATACCTGTGTTTGGTTTGGAATGGAATGCCATTCCACGATGCATGAAATCTTGTTGGCTGCTTTCCAATACAGTGATGTGAAATAAACTGGGGAAAAGTTGTTGTCACAAATACCTTTCTCTACAGGTAGTCCTTGATTTAGGACCGGTCACTTTAATGACCATTTGAAGTTAGGACGCATTTGAAAAAAAAGTTACTTAGGACCCATCCTCAAAGCTGTGGCTGCTGTACTATCCCCACTGTCAGGTGATCATTTGGGGCGCTTGGCCACTGGTTCACATTTATGACCAGGGGTAGCATCCTGCGATCATTCGATTATGCGTCCTGTGGTCATGTTTTTCTGGCAAAAAAGGCCTGTTAAGCTGGATTTGGACTTGCATCTATATCAGTGGTTCTCAACCTGTGGGTCGGGACCCCATTTGGGGTCGATCGACCATTTCACGGGGGTCGCCAAGCAAGGCTGTCCGCCATTTTTTTTGTCCGCCATTTTTTCCCCTTTTCCAGTGGGTGCCTTACCTCCCTTGGGCTGGGCCAGCTGGTGGTCGGCCTGCTCCGTCTCTGCCGCTTGCCAGCTACGCCTCGGCCAGCACAGGGGGCGGAACCACGCATGCGCGGCACTCCCGGGCAGGGAAAGTCCTCGACTTACAACCGGTTGGGTAGTCCTCGACTTACGACCGGTTTAGTCCTCGACTTACGACCGGTTTAGTCCTCGACTTACGACCGGTTTAGTCCTCGACTTACGACCGGTTGGGGGTCGCGGCATTAAAAAGGTTGAGAACCACTGATCTATATGTTTCACTTAATGATCATTGTGACTTGCTTAATGAACGTTTGTAAAATCGAGTCTGGTCACATGGTAACTCGATTTATGACTGTAATGACATGACCAAAATTCCAGGCTCAGTTGTGGTTGTAAGTCAAGGACTACCGTGTTTCCCTGAAAATAAGGCACAACTGGAAAATAAGACCTAGCATGATTTTTCAGGATGCTCGTAATATAAGCCCCACCCCAAAATAAGCCCCAGTTAAGCCAGGCGGACGCATTTAGTACCGTATTTCCCCGAATATAAGCCTTAACTGGAAAATAAGCCCTAAGGCAGAGGTCCCCAACCTTTTGGGCACCAGGGACCGGTTCCATAGAGAGAGGTTTTTCCGCCGACCGGACGGGGTGTGGTTTTGTGTGCTGCCTGCATCCCATAGATGTGGCTTTGCTTGTTTGTGCAGACTGGTTGCTGGCATGCCGCGGCCCGGTACTGGTCTACAGACCCGGGGTTGGGGACCCCTGCCCTTATTTTGGAACAACAATTAATATAAGACCCGGTCTTATTTTCAGGGAAATACGGTACCTGTATTTGCTATAGTTCTTTTTGAAAAGAGATCTGACTTCCTTTTTTTTAATTTTTTTTTTAATTCCAGGCAGTGTGGGCAGGCTGGGGCCATGCCTCGGAGAACCCCAAACTTCCAGAACTACTCCACAAAAATGGAATTGCTTTCATGGGTAAGGTGTTCGAAGTTTGTCTGAAATAGGCCCCGTGATTGTATTATTGCAAGGGGGTCTCGTCGGTCCTACCAGAAGACAACAGCTGGTGTTAGGAAAGGAATGTCTCTTCTGATCATGGCATCTGGATGGTCTCTGAAAAGCAGGGGCAGTATTGAACAATGACATTCTGAAAGAACAGAACAACATCAGGGACACATCACTGTTATGAAAACAGCATTTGTACGCAGAATGTCTAGGAAAGCAAAACTAATAGAATTGAGGCTGCAGGATTTGATGGGGAAGATGTAGAAATTACAGAGGGAGGGGGAAAAATCAGGAAAAATTGAAGAGTAACAGGAAGATCCTATAATTCTGGCTTCTGAAAAGCATGAACAGTGGAGGGGTTAGAAAAAGCTTCAGAAGAAGCCATATAGCAGGGGAAGAGGTAACTGTGGCAACTTTACGACCGATGGACTTCAACTTCAATTTTGTCTGAAATGATATAGTTCTCCTACTTGAGCAGGGGGCTAGACTAGAAGACCTCCAAGGTCCCTTCCAACTATTCTATTCTATTCTATTCTATTCTATTCTATTCTATTCTATTCCATTCCATTCCATTCCATTCCATTCTATTCTAAATATTCTATTCTATTCTATTCTATTCTATTCTATTCTATTCTATTCTATTCTATTCTATTCTATTCTATTCTATTCCATTCCATTCCATTCCATTCCATTCTATTCTATTTTTTNCTATTCTATTCTATTCTATTCCATTCCATTCCATTCCATTCCATTCTATTCTAAATATTCTATTCCATTCCATTCCATTCCATTCCATTCCATTCCATCCTATTCTAAATATTCTATTCTATTCTGTTCTGTTCTATTCTATTCTATTCTATTCTATTCTATTCTATTCTATTCTATTCTATTCTATTCTATTCTATTCCATTCCATTCCATTCCATTCCATTCTATTCTAAATATTCTATTCCATTCCATTCCATTCCATTCCATTCCATTCCATCCTATTCTAAATATTCTATTCTATTCTGTTCTGTTCTATTCTATTCTATTCTATTCTATTCTATTCTATTCTATTCTATTCTATTCTATTCTATTCTATTCTATTCTATTCCTCCCAGCATTCCTGAGTCAGCATGGAAGAGGGTGAAGAGGTAGAAGAGTCAGAAGAGAATGACAAAGCTGAAGAAGATAAAGTGATTGATTGATTGATTGATTGATTGATTGATTGATTGTGTGCCATCAAGTCAGTGTTGAATCTTAGTGATCAGATGTAATAGATTTTCTCCTGGATGATCTGTCCCTAACCTGATCTTCAGATCCTCCAATGATACACTCATTAGTCTTGTAACTCAGTCCATCCATCTTGCTCCTGGTCGTCCTCTTCTTCTCTCTCCTTCCATCTTTCCTAGCACCAGAGCCTTCTCCAGAGAGCTGGGTCTTCACATAATATATCCAAAGTTGGATAATTTCACCCTTCATATTTGTGCCTTGAGTGAGAACTATGGTTTTATGTCGTGGCGACCAAAACTGGATGCAATATTCCAAGTGTGGGCTGCCACAAAGAAGGGGGGGGTGTCCGGCAACCATTTGTCTGAAATGGTGTAGAGTTTCCTGCTTGAGCAGGGGTTGGACTAGAAGACCTCCAAGGTCCCTTCCAACTCTTCTCCAACACCCGTGTTCAAAAGCATTAATACTTTTCTTAATCCCTTCTTCAAAGTCCAAAGGAAGGGGAAAAAAAGAATTCAAAAATTAGAACTGGTCCAAGTTATGCCAGCTTTGACAGTTCATCTGTTCAGGCACATCTAAAGTTAGTAGAAGTTAGCATCAAATCCCCAAAATTTATCCAATATTTCTTCCCCTGCCCAACTCTTCAGCAAAAGTATGTAGAAATTGCTGATTCGCAGGGATTTACCCCCACAGTTGAGGTTGACATAAGCGGCGTGCCATTCAGTAAATCAATGCTAGTAGTTGAAAAAAACGATCTTGCTGCAGAACTTTTATTTTTTTTATTTTTTCTAGGTCCCCCAAGCCAAGCGATGTGGGCATTAGGAGATAAAATTGCTTCTTCTATAGTGGCGCAAACTGCGGGTATCCCTACCCTTCCATGGAGTGGCAACGGTAAGACGTGTTCAGCGTCATGTGGCCATGGACCAAATTCTTCCAGATGGCCAATGGTGTTTAAAATAAGCCCTGAGAAATGATATGGGATAGTAAGCAGATTTAGCCCTGGGTGTTCTCTGAGCTCGGTGGTTTTCTAGCAAATGTTTCATTACTGAACTAGGTAACGACATCAGTGCTAGAGGGAAGGGGAGGGGGTGAGGAAAATTTAGAAAGTGATAACTGTATGAAAAGTCAAACACCAGAAATAAAAAGGGTTACTTCCAATTCTCTGCAATGCAGATGCAATTATGTAATAAATTAAACTTGTTTTATTTATTTTATTTATTTATTTATATTTATATTTATATCCCGCCCTTCTCCTTGCGGACTCAGGGCGGCTAACAACCGAATAAAAAATACAAAATATCAGACTACAAATTTAAAACTTAATT